CTCGGGAAGGGACCCCCAGCCGCAAGCGGTGCCTGCGTGGCCTCTCCATCACCCACCACCGCACCGGGATGTGCCCAAGCCGGGCTCAGCCCCGCCGGGACACGCGCCGTGGGACGACGGTTGGCATCGCCGCTGGAGGACGAGCGTTACGTGGGTGCTGCCGCAGCTCCGCTTCCACCTGCCTTGGCCCCTGCCCTGGGGAAGGAGAGATTCCCACCTCCTCGGGAGCGCCTTGAAGATGCCTGTGGGACCCCTGATGCCAGCTGGGCTGCGAACCCCTCCTGCTCCGGCGTGTTTGTTCCTTGCCCAGTGACACTGCTGCTGCTCTCCCCCCGCCCCAGGGGTCACCACTCAGTCCCCGGAGTGCCTGGCCTGGCATCACTGTTCGCCCTGCTCTCCGCCGGGATGCCTGCAGTCCCTGGTGCCCTCGGCCATGGGGACCGTCCCCAGGGCGGTGGGAGGTGATGGCTGGACGTGGAGGTTGTTCTCGCAGGTGTGCCACGATGCAGGAGACCAGATGGTGCCCCGGCGGGGTCTGAATTCTCCCCACATGACAGGGAAGGAACCTGCAGCCGAGCGATGGTGGCCCTTTGCTGTGCAGCTTCAGGACCGTGTGTTGGTGGCACTTTCTGATGCCCATAGAAAGCCACCCTTCCCCGTGTCCAAGGAGACTGACTTCACGTCCACGTCCAATATTTCTGTCTCTTCTGCAGTTCCTGCCCTGGAGGGTGTCTGTGGTTCGTTGCTGGGGGCTCCTGGAGGGTGTCACCTCGCTCCCTCCCATGGAAATTCCTTTTTCTTCATGATTTCTGGCCAAAATGCAACTCTCTTGGGTAGACCTTTGCGGTGCCTCCAACTTCTCTAACGCTCGTCTGCCAGACCGGTCCCTTCCCGGTGCCAATTGACGTTCCCAATGAATGTGACACTGCTGTAACCGCCTCCGCTGGTAAATGAGGGACCCAGCAACGTTTGACAGAATTCCCAGCCAAAGGCAAACCCCGTTTGCTCTGACACTTTTCCCTGAAAGGCGCTTAATTTTCAGAGGACCTGCCGTGCTTTGAGCTCCAGCAGTGCTCGCTGACGTCTCACCGAGGAGGCAGTGGGGGGCTGTGGCCCCCGTCATGGGTGGGCTGAGGGACCAGCTTCAGACCCCAGAAATACCCAAATTCAGTGTCCACCAGGCCGGTGCTGCCATTGCTGCCAGCGACCTCCTGTTACTGCTGGCGGGCTCAGGGATGGAGCCCAATGCCTCGTCCTCCCTTGCCCCTTGTTAAATATTTGCACATTAGGAAAAAAAAAACCAGAGCAAAAAGCAAAAAGGTTTTTTGCCCATACTCAGAAGCTCTGTGCTGGCTGACGAGGACCCTGTGTGTTGGTGATGGTGAGTTCGCCCGGGCAGAGGCACCTCTTGCAGGGTCGCGGCTGGCTCTGGTCCTGGGTCCCAGCGTGGGGCCTGTCCTGCCCCGCTCTCGGCGTGCTGAGCGTCCTCCAGCAAATCCTGCTGGCCCCAGTATTCCCCCCCAGCTGCGGGTCTGGGACCCTGGCTTGGATGCTTCCACCCTGCCTTTGGGGAGCCCTGAAGACCCCCAACTCCTGAACGTCACCGGGATCTGCAGCTTCTTGGCACCGCTGGAAGTAAGGCTTGAAGTGTCTCACGCCTGGGAATGTTGGCCTTAACCTCCTCGTGCCTCAGTTTCCCCCTCAGTGAGTGGCCTGGGTGAGCCATCCCCCCTCCGGAGAGCAATTCGGTGCCCGTGCCCGGGGCGGTGCGAGCGCTGGATGCGGCTGGAGGTGGCGGCCGGGCGGGTTTGGCAGGACCTGCTGAGCATCGGGCATACGTGGAGCGCCGGGAGCGCGGCGTGAAGCGCTGCGTTGGAGTTTGCACCACCGAGTGATTCATCTGGGTCTTCTTTTTACATCTGCTCGTTATTAAAAGTGAACAGCGGGCAAGACCTGGGTTGTTTCTGTTTGTATGCGGGTTCCTGGTGCCCGGCCGAGGTGAAGCCGGCGCAGCCCGGGGCTGCG